TCATCCATCTGTCTGTTCGTCCATCCATCCATCTATCCATCTACCCATTTGAAATTGCCATCTTTGTAGGTCATAGTGCCAAATCTTAGTATTTTATGTGGCTCAACCAAATAGACAATGTTTCTCCAGACAAGCACATGCTGCTGGCAAAAGATACTTTGGCAAACAGCTAGACATGTAGGGAGACTTCACATCAGACTGTAAGTGTACATTTAGGGTATCAGAACAGACCAGCCGGAGGAAAGGACTCAGCTTTGCTTAGGAAATGTTAAAATACTTAATATTCTTGATTCCTTATTTGGAATTATATTCTTTCTTTTGCTCTATTTGAAAGTAAGGAAGGCTATTGTGACACATGAATGAACCTTGAGGACATTATTCTGAGTGAGATGAGTCAGTCGTGAAAGGACAAATACTGTGTGATTCCATTTTCATGAGATATTCAGAGTGGTCAAAATTGTGGGAACTAGAGTGGAAAGTTGTTTAATGGCACAGAGTCTCAGTTTTGCAAGCAAAGTTATCACGTGAGAGCAACAAACTCAGTAATATTAGTAGGTAGGTCCACACATACGGAGTGAGTGGGTTCTGTGGACCCCGCTCTTTCTGAGGGATCACTTGACATTTTGGGGGCCACATCCTAAAAACAGGACTGGTCCTCTTTGTCAGCGCATGTATTCCGAGCATCTACTTGGAGATGAAGAGTGCCCTGGGCTCATGGGGAGAAGTAGGAAATGAGCAGATGTGGGGACATGGACAGGCAGCATGGAGCCCGGAGCAGGTGAGATGGTTCTGAGGGCAACAGAGTTCTCTGAGTTTGAGCTCGTAGAGAAAGTGGAGAGGGTGGGCGTTTGTGGAGCTTAGAAGAGTTGGAATGGTGTGTAGAGGCAGGAAATATGAGGGAGAACCTTGTGGCTTAGGGCTTGGGAGGAGTTTGTGTTACTGGAGCATGTGGAGAGTGATGGGAGCTGGAGATCAGGAAGCACATCATGAGTGTCGCAGTTAGGATATTATCTTCAGTTCCTACCTAAATTCTCCAAGAATCAGTTTATGTCACCTTGTGTCCACCATCTATCCATCCATCCGTTCTTTCGTCTGTCTGGCACACCCACCCACCCATCCACCCACATATCTGTCCGTCCATCCATCCATCTATCCAGCTATCCATCTATCCATCCACCCATCCATCCACCAACCCACCTATCCATCCAGTTACCCACGTATCCATTCACTCACCCTTCCACCCATCCATCTGCCCATCCATCTGCCCGCCCGTCCACCCATCCACCCATCCATCCACCCATCCACCCACTCATCCACCCATCCACCCACCCATCAGTCCATCTATCCTCCCACCCATCCACCCACCCATCCATCCACTGATCCATGCATTCATCCATCCATAATCCATCCATACATCCATTCACCCATCTATCCCTTCATCCACCCGCCCATCCAACCACCCTTCCATCTGTCCGTCCGTCCGTCCATCCATCCATCCATCCATCCATCCATCTACCCACCTACTTAATCACCCACCCTTCCACCCACCTATCTATCCACCCTTCATCTGTCCATCCATCCATCCACTGATCCATGCATTTATCCATCCATTATCCATCCATCCATCCATCCCTTCATCTACCCACCCACCCATCCATCCACCCACCCATCCACCCACCCAGTATGTGTTGAGAATTTACAGTGCTGTGATGACTACAGAGAAACTAAACAGGTGGCCTCTACTTTCAGAGATCATTGTTGTGGTGACATGAATAATGTGATAAAAGTTAAATGACACAAAGGGGACAAAGCCACTATACCCGGCCAGCTTTGTTAAGTGCCACCCTTTCCCTTGGACATTCTGCTTTAGGCAGGAAGTATTTTTTAGGTTTCTTGAACTCACCAGTCTCTCTCTCCCCCAGAACCTTTCTACATGCTGCTCCCATTGCCGGGAATGTTGTTTTTTCTTCATTATTCCTGCCATTTGTTTTTAGCTTTCAGGCATTCTCTGATGGCCTGGCCACTCTGGACTTCCCTGTGGCACTGTGTGCTCTCTTGGCTTACCAGTGTCCCTTTTGGTTGATGGTCCCTGATGAGTTGAGTCTTTATGAAGGGGTGACCTTTTTGCTCTGGACTCCTTCTATTCCTGGGACGCAGGTAGGTCAGTGTTCAGTAGATGAATGTCTGAAAGCTATTAAATGCAGTTTCCTCTTTTCCAAATTCTGAAAAGCGGCTTTATATGTTTGAGGACAAGCATATTGATCAGGTATTTATTATTGGCAATCTGATTTTTTTTTTTTGAGTTGGAGTCTCACTCTGTCGCCCAGATTGGAGTGCAGTGGCCGCTCCCGGCCACCGTGGCCTCGACCTGCTGGACTCCGGCGATCCTTCCAGCCTCAGCCTTCCAAGTAGATGGAACTACAGGCGTGCGCTACCAAGCCTGGCTAATTTTTTGATTTATTGTAGAGATGAGGTCTCGTCCAGTTGGCCAGGCGAGTCTCGAACCCGCGGGCTCAGGCAATCCACTCACCTCAGCCTCCCAAGGCGCAGGATTACAGGCTGAGTCCCCGAGCCCGGCTGATCTGATGTTAATTTGAGCCACACAACTAAGAAAAAATAAACTTTTATATATAAGAGAAAAACGAGTCCTTCGAAAGCCGCCAGAGGTCAGTATAATCAAGGAAATGTTAGGAGACCAAACCTGGCTGTGCCTTGGGTTCTATTTTTTTGTCTTTCTGGCCTCCTGCGAGGCCTTAGAGGACCGCACGTTGTTTGTTATTCACCACCCCCCATTTTGGCAGTGAATCATTACTACAGAGGAAATAGGTGTAGTATTTAAATAGTCCACCATTGTAGCCTGCGTCTTATATTTCTCTGGGGCAGTCACCATAGTTAGCACAAAACTCAGGGAGAGGAAAAATATTTATTTTCAGAAGAGTGCTTTGATTTTTTTTTTTTGAGTTGGAGTCTTACTCTGTCGCCCAGACTGGAGTGCAGTGGCCGCTCCCGGTCACCGCAGCCTCGCCTGCTGGGCTCCGGCCATCCTTCTGCCTCAGCCTTCCGAGTAGCCGGAATTACAGGCGCGCGTTACCATGCCCGGCTGATTTTTTGATTTATTGTAGAGATGAGGTCTCGCTGCCCAGGCGGGTCTTGAACCCGCGGGCTCAGGCAATCCACTCACCTCAGCCTCCCAAAGGCGCGGGATTACAGGCTGAGCCACCGAGCCCAGCTTAAATCCTTAATTATACTATTAGCCTTCTGGTAACTTAAACTGTATTTGACATTCAAGTATTGCATTCCACCTTTAGGATTTTTTTTTGTGATGAGTAATGGTGAGTAATTATTTTGATCTAGCAGAATTTTCAGGTTTTTACCTCTGCTGTGTCATATATGATGGTGGGGCATTGTAAGACCTCTGTATGTTCATAGACTTAAGGTTGTTTTTTTTTTTAAACAATACTAGCTTAATTAAATTGTTCAAGAACTCTTGATGATTATACTTTTATTTTATTTTTGAGTTGGAGTCTCACG